TCCATAGTTTGGGTACTGTGATTGAACGGTACTGCAATATGGTAATGAAAATACATGTATACTAATATAGTAGTATATTTTTGTAGGCGAGTTATTATAGCAGGGTGATTGAAAATAAAACCGCGTTGGATATACCTTCAGATGTCGAATGGGTAGAAGGATGCAGACAACAAGAAGGGAATGATGATTGCGGGATTTTTGTGTGCATGTGGGCATATTGCCATGCTAGAGATGACGCCGAGACTTGGAAAAAGGCGAAAACTTGCTTGATCAAAAAACTCCGTCCAAAACTAGCACTTGTCTTCTTAAAACACCAAGGCGTGGATAGAGAGGCAGTAGATGCTGATGCTTTGAACATATTTAGAACAATTTTTAAAATTATTTTTGATTATTTTTGAACAATCTGTTTTATGGGTGTTTTTGGGTTGTGATTGTCATGAACAAGTACTTTTAGATTAGTGTTTGCAGGCGATGATGGTTTTAAAACTTGTCCTCTTTTTGTGGTGTTGTGACACCTATTTTGAATAGTGTAAGTGTTTTGCAAATTAGTTTTTAATACTCTTTTAGTTTCTTGTCGATGCGTATAACCTACCCCATCTATACCATTACCTAAAATGAGGAATACCATAATGTTGATGACTTGAGTTGCTCAAATTTGTTTTGCACATTTGTGATCCATAAGTTTGGGAAAGACATTAAATATGTTTTATATTAAGGTTGTAAGGTTTTTTCAGGTTAGTTTTAACTTTGGGGTTCAAAATGGAAAGAATGTATCGAATTCCTTACAAGATACACTACTAATGTGCAAGGCTTCTATGTATAAGTGATTGTTTTCATCACAAGTGACCATATTCAACAACTATCAACTCCCAAGTTGTTTCAATTCTTGTAAATGAGTCACAAAATGAATAAATGAGGGATGAGATGGTTTTCTATGGTTGTATTGACCCCAAATGATACTATAACAAGGGTACTATTAGTGAAGTACATCAGTGCTATATCGTGGGCAAACAGATACAAAACAACGGTTCCGTCCATCCATATACACGCCACCGATTATACTAGTCGTTAGACCAATCAACACCATAATATTGATGGCATGAATTGCTCGATATTTTTTTATACATTTGTGATCCATAAGTGTGGGAAAGACATATAATATGTTTTAAATTAAGGTTGTAAGGTTTTTTCAGGTTAGTTTTAACTTTGGGGTTCAAAATGGAACAAATGTATCGAATTCCTTACAAGATACACTACTAATGTGCAAGGCTTCTATGTATAAGTGATTGTTTTCATCACAAGTGACCATATTCAACAACTATCAACTCCCAAGTTGTCTCAATTCTTTTAAATGAGTCACAAAATGAATAAATGAGGAATGAGATAGTTTTCTATGGTCGTGTTGACCCCAAATGGTACTATAACAAGGGTACCATTAGTACAGTACATAAGTACTATATTGTAGGAACTATAATACGTAGATATTGTACGATCCATGCGTGAGTTGTGAACGTGATATACAGAACAGTAGAAGAACAATAACTATCACTATATTGTATGAGTACATTTCTTACGAACAACAACAATTGATTCATCGATAGAGTTAATTTATTTGTAAGTACCCAAAGTACTTACACATTGACATTACAATACGATTAACGAGCTACAATACACGACACTAACTTTTAACTCGTATTGTTACGGTGATTAGTTAAGAAACAATACATAGGTTTGACAAATCATGTAAACTGCAAATATTACTAGGTTTAACACTATCAAACTTTGAATTACTCCAGCTTCATCTCTGGAATTCTTCACTTTACTTTCGCGATGAACTTGGTTCGTCGATCCACTCGTAGCTTCACTTTCTTCATATCGAGAATAGTTGTGGGAGAAAGTTTGCCCAATTTCAAATGGCTCACACCAATGAGAATAGCCATGGTCTGGGCAACAATAAAATAGCCTCCCTGGATTCAAACTTGTCTCCGAAACCATGATTATTGTTTTTTTCCCACAATCACGACGCTTGCAGTTATCTTTTTTATATTTTAAGCTACTCTTTTGAGAGTTGCTACTGGAAGAAGCCATGAATGAGAAGCAGACGAACATAATTACGTGCTTTTTATAAGTTCTGACGACAAAAATAACGGCTATATTATTGTAACGGTCATAAAATTCAAATCGATTCACTTATTATTCTTCTGTGAACCATATTATGTTGTACGTTATACCATATCAACGTAATAACAATACTATTGTAACCAAAACAGTGCGCTCTATTGTAACTAAAACAGTCATATCATGGTACATACAAATGGATAAATAGTACGAAATACATGTCAACAAAGTACAAACAACATAAAAAGAAAGTAGAAACAGAGTAGTGCTACGGGACTGGTTGTTTGCACGTACGGCGATTATGTCCAGGTTTACCACACCGTGCACACTTCGTAGCACGGGTTTCGACTTGCGATGGAATTCTTTTCGTCCTTCTACGGCCTGGTTGAGCTTTCGATGCAGGTGGATTAATAAATACATCTTCCGGGCCATGATTTGTTTGTGCATTGTACAAATCAAATTCCTCATCAAAAGAAGGAATTGGATTAATTGTGTACTTGTATACTTCTTTGTACAAATCAACCCGGAAGCAAGGATCAACAAATTCAAATACCGAATATCCTTTCGCCTCAATACATGCACATGCATGTTTGCACGGAAGTTTATCCAACTGCCAAGATTTGCAAGTACAGGTCCTAGTCTCTAAATCAACACCATACGACTTATCCTCTTCATACACCTCATAACGCGTACCACTGGATCTGGTATATTTTAATAAGCGAGAGGCCGTATAGTTGATTAATAATCTCCTTTCAACTCTTGGACACACTGTACCAGCCATGACTCAAGAATCTTCCCGTCGATTACCTATCATCTTCATTATTTTGATTCGTATCATATCAATCATGGATGGAACTGGCAAAGATCGTTCATCTTTAACCCAACCATTCCAGCATTCAACTTGGTTACTGTTCATTATTCCCCATCTATCCCCAGAAAAGTATGCATTGGCCCAACGATTGGGATCAGAGTCTCGGATAAATGATTCCGCACGAGGCATTGATTGAACTATATGAGATATATGTTCCTCAAACTCTTGCCGAGTAGGAGCAATTGCAGCCTTATGTAGAACACTCACCCAATATGCTTTGTTGTGCAATGGATACGATCTTAGAACCTTTGTTCTAAAGTTATCCTCCAAATGTCGCAAACAATAAGCATGGTTGCTACCAGGAAATACCAGTGGAATGGCTTTAATAAGCCCCGGATGACGATCAGAGAAAATTGTGTAATTTTTCAATAAACCCCCATTGTGATAAACAAGAATATCTTTCAGCTTATTACAAAACCACTCCCAATTCCTATCATTCTCGGCATCAACAATTGCATAGGCCAATGTGTATAACTCATCATTTGGATCTTTGGACACAGCAGAAAGTAAGAAACCTTTGTACTTATTTTTAATATGAGTCCCATCCAAACATATCATTTGCCTACACCCACGGTGGAAACCCAAAATAGAATTTCCAAAACTAATAAAGATCCGAAGAAACCTTTGAGTTTGAGGGTCAATCTCATAATCGGCACAACTACCAGGGTTATTCTGTTTTAGTGCACGACAATAACGTCTCAGTTTATCATAACAGCTCGACTCATCCCCATAAATGTCATACATTGCTTTTTCCTTACCTCTCCACGCCGTATAGTACTTAAGCTCCACACCGTACTTTCTTTGGACCTCATTCAAAATAGCAATTGGTTTGTAACCTGGCTCATCTCTCAATTTTTGTTTCATAAGTTGCGAAATCCACGTAGCATCGGCTTTGGGATGACCCCTTGTACGAAGAGTAGCATCACCACAACTGTGCTCAAGAATACATTTGCGAATGCCGAATAACTTGTCTGATTTATGAACTGATGCATAAACCCTCCATTTGCAATTTTCAACAATGCATACGGCTATGATCTTTTGTTGATCATTTTTCTTGTACTTGAAGGTTCGATTGTTAGCAATGCAGTAATTTTTTAACATAAACCTAAAATCATTAGCATCTTTGAAAATTTGATTCTCCCCGCGTATGCAATGTCTCCATGCATCAATTGAATCTCCAACCGGATTGTACTCAATTTGCAACGGACTGTTGGAACTAACAGACTCACTGGAAAATGCAAAAACAATGAAACAAATTGGATTATTACAGTGGACTACAAATAAATTGTAACAATTGAAATAAGTACTTTGAGTGGAATGCTTGCATACGAGAACTCAATTTATAAGATACTTGATATACAATCATTCCATACTATTAGTAGCCTTATATGATACTACGAGCTTAGTTATTCTACACTATCACTGTAGTAACACGATACTATGTAGTATTATATTCTATGCTATGATCACATAAACAAATTGAAAATGCATACAAAACAGAATGGCTGCATACCCGTTGCTGGGGGTCCTCCTTCTACGCCCATCAAGTTCATTAGTGCGGCTCACCATAATGTCGACCACACTCATGTGCATTACCAAATGCAATGTAACCATATTCACCACGTCTTCGTCAGAAGTCAGTGTGACGAACATTCTTTCACGGGGAACCAAGTATTGGAGCACCAATTTGTCGGGATGTATATCGTTCCACTTCATTAAGATAGATTCATAGATCTCCTTTAAAGTCGAATCATTCTTAATGGAAATGATGTGCAGAGAATCACTGTACCGACAACTTCCAATAATACCAGCGGCGATGGGGTTTGATTCACCATTTGCTGCCATTGTGGGAAATTACAGTTTTTTTTCGCGGTCGGAAAACAAAAAGTTGTAACAGAGAATATGAGGAAACGAAGAGGAGAGAGAAACAGAAGAGAAAAAATGGAAGAAAAATGAGAGATGAGAGAGAGTGTAGAAGAAAGAGGAGAGAGGAGAGAGAGTGTAGAAGAAATAGAAGAAAGATGAGAGAGAGGAGAGAGGAGAGAGAGTGTATAAAGTGAAAAAAAGTGGGGTCAGGGACTGAACTGCATGTTTATGTTTGCTGTAGGGACTGACCCGCTAGTAAAACATTACTGGGGACTGACCCGTATGTTAGTTTTTGAGTTGGGGATTTATCTGTACTTGTCCCAAAAAAATTCTCATCTTTTAATTTGTTAATTAAAAAAGGTTAGGTTTCAATATGGGACACTTGTTTGATTTGAGCCTCAAATCTTTGGCGCATTTACCGCATATACACGGCAACACAAGAAAAAAATAGAGAGGGTAAATTACCAAAACCGCCCCTTAACTATGTTTTAATTATGAAAAAAACCCTCATGTATTCATTATTACCAAAAAAAACCATCTGACTAAATGTATCAAAAACATGTGTAATGTCTATAATGCCCTTAAGTTAAATTAAGTTTAAAAGGCCATAAATTACCAAAAACCCACATGATCAAATTACCAGAAAACTCCTCAAAATATTCATAATTACTAAAAAGAAACTCCTATGGTGTATTTTAATCTAACAATACCCTCTTTGCAGGATTTCCTTTTTTACTTTTCTTTTGCAAACTCTAACCTCATATTTTTTAGTCAAACGAATTTTTCAATGACATTACTACGATTTTTCAGTGACATTCCGACGAATTTCAAAGATTTTTTTCGGTGATATTTATAATACCAATGACCAAATTTTCTTGATTCGCATCCAAAAGTTCGGATGCTGGAATACATTTTTGCATTCCAAATTAAAAAAAATAAAAAAAATTGATTTCCGTTTTTTTCTTGGATTAAAATTAGAATTATTTATTCACTTGTTAAGCGACGAATTCATATTTTTACGAAAAACCATAGCTACACATTTCATCTAAAACAACTCAATTCGTTCATCCGAAGAAAAAAAAAAAAAAAAGAGGAGTTTTAAGGTATAGTTACATAACATACCATGTTCGGTGTGCCTACATGGCAAGACAACCGTGTTCTTGTCCTCGGCAAAGAAAATGATGCACTCGTTTTCTGACTCCGCATCGCTAACCGAAGCTTTGTTCGAATCACCAACGCCGTATATATCATGCAATCGTAGCGGACCCCACCAGCCTACAAAATCTGCTTAATTACTTTCATTTGAAAATTCTTCCCAATTTTTTTCTCCAACACAGCTTGAGTGATCTGAGCATATTATTACTAGTAGACAACTGTTCTAATATTACGAGCGGGTAAACATATCCTCCTGGAGAAGGCTTTGACAGCTCATCAATGTCGAAGAAGCCTAAGTCTATACCGGTTCCTGAAGGCTGGCAGAACTTCTGTCCGGGTCCTTTTCGGAATATATTATATTCTTACGGGATTAATCTCCGGGTGTATTGGAGTGAATTTACACTCGTCTCCCTCTTCCGCAAAATAAAAGATTGTAATACTGCAATATATAACCATAGTTACATGCATCAGTTTATTTACTCTTAGCCAAAGGCTGGTTATGATAAAACGTAAAATGTTTCTTCTTATCAGAAAATGTTACAAAATTGACATGGACTGAAGTGAATATAAGATCCAAGGCAATTACCATATTACTGAATTTTATATCAATAGAACATAAAATAGGCACTCAAAACAAGTACATTTAATCCTCTCCAATCGTTTCTATAGGAGAAATAGAGTTGGAGAAAGAGAGAATTATGTCTTGTATATTAATCATATATATAGTTACATGTAGGAAATTGTAACCTATTACACAAGGTAACTTATTACACAAGATAACTATAATAAATAATAATAATATATACGCTGCTAATACACCCCCACAGTCGAAACGGGAAAGGAGAGGACGTGGAGACTGGAGATAAACTGTTGAAACAATTGAGTAGGTAGTCATTTCGTGAAGATATCGGCAAACTGGTAGGCGGATGGGACGTGAAGAACTCGAACGTGTTCCAAATCAACTTTGTCTCAGACAAAGTGGATATCAATCTCCACATGTTTCGTACGAGAGTGTTGAATAGGATTGTTGGATAGGTAGACGGCACTGACGTTGCCACGGTAGACAATGGTGGCTTTCGAAAGTGGGCATAGCAACTCAGAAAGTAGATTGCGTAACCAAGTCGTTTCGGCGACGGCATTTGCGATAACTCGATATTCAGCCTCCGCACTAGATCGAGAAGTAGTGACCTGTCGTTTGGAGGACCAAGAGATGAGGTTGTTGCCGAGGAAAACGCAATAGCCCGATGTCGAACGACGAGTGTCAGGACAACCACCCCAATCGGCGTCGGAATAAGTGATAAGAGAGAGGTCCGGATTGGGGGAGAGGAGAAGGCCGTGGTCGAGAGTGCCACGGATATAGCAAAGGATACGCCTGGGAGCAGCCATATGAGGTTCCCTCGGATCATGCATGAATAAACATATTTGTTGCACAACATAGCAAATGTCGAGACGAGTAAACATGAGGTATTGCAGTGCACCGGCAAGGCTGCGATAGAGAGTAGGGTCAGCAACAGGGGGTCCAGTGGTCGAAGACAACTTGCTCTTTGTGTCAGCCGGCGTTAGACAAGGTTTGCGGGAAGTCATGTGTGCACGCTCTAGTATCTCGTCGGCGTACTTGCGTTGAGAGAGAAATAACCCATTCAACGAGCGAGTAACTGAGATGCCGAGAAAGTAGTGAAGATCGCCAAGATCCTTCATTGCGAACTCCTGATTAACGGCAACGATGATAGAACGGAGCAATTCAGGTGTGGAGGCCGTAAGTACAATGTCATCGACATACAGGAGAAGGTAGACGCATGAACTGTTGCGACAGTACACAAAGAGTGAAGTGTCGGACTTGCATTATCTGAACCCCATGGTAGTAATGTGAGAGGCAAAACGCTTATACCAAGCACGGGGTGTCTGCTTGAGACTGTAGAGTGCTTTGTTGAGACGACACAAGTGAGTGGGGCGAGATGGATCGACGAATCCGGGAGGTTGCTCGCAATAGACAGTTTCAGAGAGATGGCCATGTAAGAAGGCATTTTTCACATCAAGTTGGTGGATTGGCCATGATCGTGAGAGCGCAATACTGAGAACTATTCGAAATGTGGCTAGTTTGACAACTGGGCTAAAAGTCTCGTCAAAGTCGATGCCTGCCTGCTGGTGAAAAGCGCGAACAACCCACAGTGCTTTCTATCACTCAAGGGAGCCATCCGACTTGAGTTTCTGTTTGTATATCAACTTACCAGAAATAACATTAGTGAACGGGGGGAGGCGGGGCACAACATTCCAAGTATTGATTTTAATTAAAGCAGTATATTCTTCAATAATGGCGTTTCGCCAATTTTGGTCAAGAAGAGCTTGGCGATAGTTGGTAGGAATGGAAGAGGTAGATGACGCAACTAGAGAGAAAAGGGACTTTGGATTTGTGAATGTCCGCTTTACTGCGAGTCACCATAGAGTGTGTTCTATTTCTATGATCTCTAGTTATATATATTATGGGATCCTATTGTAGACGAGTGAATTTTCAAGCAATTAAAATGCTAATTTCCATAGAGTCGGGTGAATTTATTTTTCAAGTGCCAAATATATATATATTAATACTATATAAGAATCTAACTCTCCACCAGCTTTACCTCTATTTATTTTTCCTCCAGCTTTACCTCTATTTATTTTTCCTTTCTTTTGGGCCCTTTTAGTAATAAAACGACGTCGTTTTGGGTACTTTACGTCCCTTTTAGTAATAAAACGACGTCGTTTTGGGTATTTTACGTCCAAAAACAACTGGCCCAATTTTCCTTTCCCACTTTCTTAAATTGTGGACGGTACTCTGTAGTGGGGCCCATGGTCGGTTTCTCACGTCACAAGACGTCTGCATCAATTTTTTATTTTATTTTCTCTCTCCACTCCTCTTCTTTGGCCCGAACCCTTTTTTTTATCTTTCTTATTTTTCGTTTTCTCTAGCACCCAACTCCTCCCACCTGCTCTCTCTCCGACAAAGCCGCGACCCCTCTCTGTTAAATCCTCCACACCACCCCCGCCGACCGTCGACCAGGGGAGGCGATCGAAAAGAGCTCGCCGATTCGGGCTGTGGTCTGTGCGTGACGCTTTCCGGCGCTAGCCCATCGAGTTTTCCACCACTCCCCAAATTGTAATTCCTCTAGATTAGAATCTGTCATTTGTGGGATTTTATTTTTTCCGCTTCTGTGCGTTGCATATTCCCGGCCATTACCTGCGATTGGATCGGTAATAGGGGTTTAATTTTACTGCTGTCCAAATGAATTTTGGGCTTATTTATTATTCGTCGTCTTTGCTTCGTTTTCCTTGAACGAAAACTTCGTTATGTATGGTAGTGTTGATGTTTTCGATGATGACTAAACATATGATTGATGATAAATATGGATGTTATTTAAAGTTTTTTACTTATTTATGTTATATTTGATTTGTTTAGCGAAATTTGTGGTCGATCATGAATCTACATCTATAAACTATACGTCTGTTTGTTAGAATTCAGAATTTTAATATATGGAGCTTTGTTGGTATTCGGGAACTGTTATAATGTCTGAAAAGAAACATACAAAAAAGACAATAAGCGAATATGCCGATGCATAAATCACATTCGGGGCGTGAATATTGAATAGCTTTGTTGGCCGGGCATATCTTGCTGGATTTTGATTGCTCTATCGTTATTTCATTTAGTTTATGCCGAACTTCATTTGGTTTATGCCGAACACCGATGGATTTGTAATTCCAAGCTTGGAAATCGAAGACACGAAGTTGGATCTAAAGTCTGTTTCTTCAAACTATATGATTGAATGCAACTTTGAAAATGGGCACCCATT